GGTTGCATTCTGAAAGGAAGCTTCAACCTGCCTCAGCTATTTGTTGTGCAGCTTCTGTGTACAAGGGGCTGCGTTGAGCCTGAAGACCAGAAAAGGAACCCAAGGACGATAGCCCTCAAGCCAGATTCAGCCTAGCATTTCGTACTGCGGAGAGAGTCCTTTGGCGATGTAGCTGCGCCAGTTGTTCACCACTGTGTACAGCTGTCTCCATGCCTACACAGCTGTAGTAGTAATTTTCTCATTAATGTGACAACGTAGCTGTCAGAAACAATTCCAGGATGCAGAGATGAATTTTTGCCTCGCAGTTTGGGAGGGTCCAGTCGATCATGGCGAGAAGTTGCTGCGGTGTCAGGAGCAGGAGGCATCTGGACACCTTGCTGCCACAGGCAGGAAACAGAGATGAACCGCAGTGCCCAGCTCGCTTTCTCCTTCTGATTCAGTCCAGGACCCCAGTTCATTGGATGTTGCTACTCATATTCATGGTGATTTGCCTTCTTAAACAGCCCTGCCCTCGTAGGTACACCTCTACAGGTGTGTTTCCATGGTGATTTTAAACCCCATCAAGTAGACAGTAAAGATTTAACTGTTACAAGAGCCAGCCAAGCTAACCGATTACGGCAGAGGTTATATGCCCCAGAAACCCTAAAATGTACATGGTCTAGCACTTTGCAGAGGCAATAGCCTTCCCCTGAGTTATTGAGTGGAGTGTGTGGCAGAATTCTCTGTTCTTATTTTGTAATCACAGGGTACATGCTCCTTTGCTCATGTGGTATGTGTGTGAGTTCAGGGGAAGGCTGCATACATGCACGCATGATGTTAAACTTGGGCTTGCGGTTTCTAGTGTGATGCAGTGATGTGTGGGTGTATTCACACTTCTGTTCTTTCTTGTTTCCACTCATTTAGCTGATAGTGTCTCACAAATTAAGAAATTGGACATTAGTAATAGTTAAAAAAAAAAAAAGGAAAAACTTCAACCAGCCTGCTGAGGAAACGGAGGTTGGACATACTTGGTGAGTCACTAAGAGAGCAGCTGTTCTCAGCCATGGCTCCCTTGCCTACAGGGTAAGCTTTCTCTTATTTATGGTCTCCCCACTAGACGACACGGAGAAATACTGCCTTCCCTCTCTCCCTGCATTCTAGGAATCCACAGTCCAGTTGCGGCACAATGAAATCTAGAAACACATAGGTGAAACATCAATAGAGATCTTAATGCACACAGAGACAAACTGGAGGAGACATGGATAAGCTAATCAATCGATAGGAGAGTGATGTGGGTCATAAATCCTTGGTGGCCTGGAGAGGAAAAATTAGTATCCACCTTGGTAGGATACTCTTTTAAGACTTTGGTGAAATTAGAAAACAGAAACTGAGCCTGTGAACATCTGCTGACTTATGTTAAGCCATTTAGTGGGAAATAATGGATGGGAGGTATAGGCCGAGCCATATAGCTTAGACTTGCGGCTTGGATATTAAGGTCCGAAGCATTTGTCTTTGACCCTTTTAATTCTGAAATAAGTGAGCTTAGGTTTGTGCCGTGGAGCAACTGGTGGCAGGTGGTGAGCTGAGGCCTTTCCGTGACGGACAATATCACCTGAGTTCACTGGGCTGCTGGACCTGGCTTCTGACTCTCTGTTTACATAGCCCATGGTGCGAGTATGAGATTTCCAGGGATGCGATGGGGCCTGATAAGTCTGGTTGTTTCCTGGGTAAGGTCGATATTTCCTATACTTTAATACCCAATTCTAGCTACTTCCCTCATTCTATAATTAGAATAATTGAAACCCAGTACCTGATTTGATAAGAGCTGTCAGATCTGAAGAGTGTTGCTCAGTGTACTTGTTTATTATCTGACTGTATTTTCCAAGAAGATGGGGTCCGCTTTGGTATTTCTTATCCTTATGAGGCCTTTTTTTTCTCCTTTCTTACATAGTTGATTCTGGTTTTTAAACTTTTCCAATGGTTTGCTGTATTTCACAGTTAATGAAAATGTGTTTATTTCTGTCATATAGACCCTATTATTACTGTTGTCAAACAGGATTGGCTATAGAGTGTGTGTTTATGTGTGTGTGCGTGCATGTGTGCTTGCACATGAATGCATGAATGTGTGCATTCATGGGGATGTATGCATATATATGAATGTGTATGAATGTTTATAAGTTCATAACTTTGCAGTTCTGTAGAGACCCTCCTTATTTACTCCCCAGACATTTTAGCTTGCTAACTGGTTCATACTAGTTAGATTTGTTTGCACAAATATTTCCATACTTTTCTAAATGATTACTTTATGTCGAATCTTTTAGTAACCCATCTCTTACTCAGAGCAGGGCTTTTCTTTTGGCTTTAGATGTTCAAGAGCATGTTCCTGGAATTATTTCTCATGGATCATAAGGCATCAATGCTCACGCGGACTCTGAAGAACACTCGGAAAGGCATGGGGTTGTGTAAAGTCGTGCACACTAAGAGCCAATTCGTATTCATTCTGGTGGCAGCATCAGCTTGTTCTCTCTTGATTCCTCCTCATTGCAGAACCCATATAAGGTCCATGATAAACTCAGCGAGGTTCCTAGACACACAGCACACAACACAGACACTCCTTTATGGTGGGCATGTGAGTTCACGCAGCCCATTCGTGGACAGTTTCACTCTGCCCTCAGGAATCTCACACAGCTACTTTGGTTCAGAGATCCACCACTGCCGACTTTCTTTGCAAAGAACTTTCTCAGTGGTCACGTGATTGTGTTGAAGGCTTCTTAGAACCAACTGCAGATCATCCTTCAGAGTTCTTAAGATCCATGCTAGGCCCAACAACTTGCTTTTTTGGTTTTTTTTTTGTTTTTTTGTTTTTTTTTTTTTTTTTAGCCCATCCTCCACTGCTTAGCGAGAGGGCCATATTAGTGGAAAAACTAGCAGACAGGATCAGACTGTAGGGGGAAGCTTTGGCCCAACTCACAGTCCTTTCTGGATTGACTATTGTGGACATCTGAAAACGTCTCTGCCCCTCAGTTTACACATACATCAAATGGAGATGACATTAATATTTGCCATTCTGAATATATTGTGCAGTGTTGTGCCACTGTCGGCAAGAATTTAACCTGCAAAAATAGTGTGTAAAATACAAAGAATTTAAGCTGTAAGAGTGCTACTTACTGTTGTATTTAAAAGATGAACAATTGAGTATTTCCTAAATATTTAATAAACTGGAGTGATCGTGTGTTTTGGTGTAGAGAAAGGTGCCCTCGACAGCTCTCTTTGGTTTACTTGTAGGATTTTTGTTTGCTTATGAATACTTTTTGCTTTTTTGTATGTCTCAAGGTCTCCATAGCAACATTGACTCTGTAGTAAAAAAGAAAAGATGCTTTAAGTTAAGGCCCATTCACACTGCTACAGGATGCGTGTGACATACATACGGTGATCTCGATTCTGCACAGTGCATTTTTGTCTGAAAAGTAAAATAATTTTAGGAATCTCTCTCATATTTATATCTTCAGCTACCACTTGTCTGCCCACTGGGTGTACTCTCCAGAGCCACCAGTGTTCCGGATGCTTCCACCATGAGACGTGACTAGTGCAGATCATCCCGCTGTGACGAGAGTCAATCCGGAGAGACATGGGCAATAGAGCAGGACTCTTTTGTTCTGGCTTTCTCCACACTTCCCTGCCCCACGTGTCTCCCAGTCCATGTGCACACACCCATCCCATGGCCACAATCACTTGCAGGCACACACTTCCTGGCTGCTTCTCCATTTACTTCTCAGGATGCTTCCCTTTCGGAGCTCGAAGGGCAGGAGGAGCATTTGACTGAAATTCGCTGCTGAAGGTTGAAGCCCCACCTCTCATAGTTCCTGCATGAGAAAAGCTGTCAAGTGTGACCATTTTCTCGTCTGTAAAATGGCACGATACAAATGCATCTTTGTGAAAGAGGCGTGGTGATTCTGCTAAGCAGCACATTGCCCTTGGCCGAACAGTCCACTCTGGAAAGTGGACTCAGCCCTGTATTATCGACCTTGTTGTCATCTGAAGGGCAGGCCAAAGCCATAGCCAACATATTAGGGATTCACCCATTAGTGGGCTGGTATGGACCAAGTTACTTCTCTAGGCTGTTCCATTCTTTAGCCTGTCCCACTCATTTTATATTTAAATGTAATCAGTAGGGTATTGAATTCTTCATGTTGGAGTCTTCCAAGGCTTGCTTCCTATGGATACAGGAAGCTTGTGCTTCATGTCACTGAGATAATGAACGGAAATCAGTGCCCTGTCCCATCTGTCTGTTCATCTCTTCATTTGCACTGACCTCAGTGTGAAGACTGTGGGGAACCAGTCCTTGTAGGCAATTAGTGCCCCAATTTATCGTTTTAGAAAAGAAAACACACACCCTAATCAATATAGAATCTCTATTCCATACCCACTAGCAAGCATCACCGAAGGAGCCCCATGCACAAATGTTTTAAATTTGGAGCCAGAGTTAAAGACACAGTTGGCCTCCAGAATCTGAATTGAATCAGGGTTTTATTTCAGATAAAAATCTTTGGGTCTCATAACTTAAAAAACACAACTTTTACTGGCATTACGCAATTTGCCACGGGTCATTTACCAAAATGTTTGTATATGTAAGCCCAGGTTCTTCTCTTAAAAAAAAAAAAAAAAAGGAAGGGTGGAGGGCAGGGATTGGGTTTTGCTAAAATCCAGGTGGCGTTCCAGTTTATATTTAATTTTAATTGGAAATGAAATACAGGCAAAGGAGGGGGGAAAACCCACCATGTTTTCTTTACTGAGAGTATCCATTGGGGAGAGGAAGGGTGCTGCCAGCCAGATTTTAAGACACAGATTTTTTATTGGCATGTCTATTTTTTTTTCTGGCTGAATTCTTGTGCCTGCATTTAAAAAAAATAAGTTTTCACACATGGCAGTCATTTTTATGTCTCAGTGCCACTTGCCACCCTCCCTCTGTGTTTCCCATGCAATTAATACCTAGAACCAGGAGAGCACAATCATCCGAGAGCACAATCATCCGCCACACAGAACCAAGAGCTTTCGCGGAGTCCTCTGGTGAACCCCTTTGAAGTTTCCCATGAGGTCATATGTAATTCTCGTGGTTCATTTGGATTTCTGGAAGAGTGAGGAATTTTGGAAGAAAGAACAGTGAGTGAAAAAAAACTTCCAAAAAGTATTGAAATAAGGAGCGGCGGGGCTGCGTCCCCAACACCCCGGCCGCTTGCTAGCTCATGCCCGAAATAACAACACACAAACTGTATTCATTTAAGAACTGCTTGGCCCATGAACTCTAGCCCTTACAGGCTAATTCTCGCACCTGGACTAGCCCATTTCTAATGATGTGTGTAAGCACCCCAAGGTGCACTTACCGGGAAGATTCTAGCCTCCGTCCATCATGGTGTCTCTGCTCCAGAGAGCAGAGCTGTTCAGTCCTTCTGGGAGCAGAGCAGAGTCAGACCTCACTTCCTCTTCTGCCCAGAATTCTATTCTGTTTACGCCTCCCACCAATGCTTTAATCTATGAGGCCAGCCAAGCAGTTTCTTTAATTAACCAATGAAATCAACAGATTGATATATGACACTCCCACATCAAAAAAGGTCCAGGTACATTTTGTGAAACTGTCACGAAACGCTGGCAGGGAGATGGTGGCACGGTTAGGAAGTGGCTCCTGCTTCCTGGTTGTGGTGCGCCAAGAACTGGTGCCCAAGATAACGAAACCTTCTCTGTTGGCGTCTTAGTAGGTGAGGGTGTAATCTGGGTCTTCTCAATTGGACATTGAATACCAAATAATTTTAAATTTGATGATGCATGGAACAAATTGTAGAATATGTTAATAGACGTGGATAAGGACACAGAAAATGAGCTGTGGCCTGTAGTCCCATTCTCTAGAAATTGCGGCTCCCAGCACTCTTTTCTTCTCCCCTTTAATTTAAAGATCTGTTTCGTGATTTCCATCCAACCGTTCCCATTCCCTCTGTCAAACTTCACTGATGAGAAAAAAGTTAGCACCAACGCTGTTCATCAGCCAGAGTCCCTGCAGCTGATTTCCTTGTGTGGTGGTACTCACTCTTATCTCATTTTCATTTTTGGTTTCTGTATATTTAGAGTTTTAGAGAAACCTTTGGTTTTGATTTCTAACTTCATCATTTATGGTGTGAACAATGTCATTTTCTTAATATTTCTCTCTTTTCACATTTGCCCAGCTTTGCTAGGTAATTCCTTAATCAGGCACAATTCTTTAACTATTAGCTTGTGCCTGCATTCACTGATTTACTTACTTATATAGGCCTTTGAGACATAGTCCTGTTGTGTAGCCCAGCAAGGTCAGAAACCCTGCAGTCCTTCTGCCGTGACCGTCTGAATTCTGAGATTGCGCATGTGCACCAGCACACTTGGCGCTCCTGTTGAGTGCAAGAGGAAAACTTCAACATGGCACGTGACAGACCGTGTTTTCATCAATAAATACGTTTCTTTTGGGGGGGGTAATATTCCAAACATCGCTGGTGTCATACATTCATGTGAGTGTGAATTTGAAATCCCTGACAGAAACTGGTCATGAAAGCATTAGAAATAGCTGCCTTAGAGAAGTGGGTCACAAGTTGGTGGTTTCCAGGTTCATGCCAAATCACTGCCTGAGGTAGTGCAGGTTGCTTATACAAGCACCCTAAGAGCTAAGTACTCTTTTAATAAAGGTTTTTATTTCTCTCTCTCTCTCTCTCTCTCTCTCTCTCTCTCTCTCTCTCTCTCTCTCTCTCTCTGTGTGTGTGTGTGTGTACACATGCATGCAGTTGGGGTTTTGCAGAGACCAGAAGAATTTATCAGATCCCTGGAACAGGAATTCCGCATCTCTGTGAGCTCCTGGCATGACTGTTGGGGACTGAACTTGGGTGCTATGCAAAAGCGGCACACACCCATAATGCCAAGTCATCTCTCTAGCCAGGAGCCCCTACTCTTAAGATTCCCTTTCTGTACGAGCAGGAACATAGCTCTTGCTCACATTCCTTCACACAAAGTCTTACTGGATAAGGCTGGATTTGAACCTGCCTCCTGCCAGCTTCGGGGCCTGAGCTGGGCTGTTTATTGTGTAAACGATCAGTTCATTCAGATATTCTCTCCCATGATGCATGTGTTCTTCCTGTACAGCTTCTGCACATGCCCACTCTGTCACATGTCCTCCATGTCACCATTTTATTGTCCAGAAAGAAAAGAAACCCAGTATCCTGAAGACAGTAGCTTATCCATTGCCAGTCTGCCCTCTTTTCACACAGAGCCCCATTTTTTAACAAATGTACACAAAGATCTTAAGCAACTGTAATTTCTACAGCTTGTTAGTTTTTTCTTCATTTCAAAGGGAGAGCATCTTGCTCCTCACCTGTTGCTCTGTGTCCTCCTGGTGAAGACTAGAACCCCGCCTACTGAGGAAGACCTCAGCAGTTGCTACTGCTTCTCAGACACTCCCGAACATGGCAGAAGCTGGATTGTGCTTCTGGTGAAATTAACAGCAGGCTGTGGGCAAGGAACGAAACAGTGGGGTCCTGGGAGATTCTGGCCAGGCCTCCAAAGCTCTTCCAGATTTCTGTCTCTTGGCACTATCCAAAAACTAAAGGGCTACTTTTAAGAATTGGGAAATCTGGATTTATTAATAAACCTCTACGTAAAGCATGAACAGCAGCGGTTGCAACATATTTTTTAGACAACTTAAAAGCAGCCATTCTGAGGTTGACAGGTTCCCGTTTATTGCTCTTGTGTTTTGTCCATGGAACCAGGAGGTTTAACTGCAGACTTTGTCCAGGTGCCCCAAACAGCTGTCACAGACTGACAGGACTAGGGACATACTTTCTGTGTTTTCTTAGTATTGTGTAACAGGCCTGAACCCCTTTCCCAACCAACAAAAATGTATTTGGTTAATATTTCTAGTACTTTGTGTTTCTTGGTGTGTGTGTGGGGGGGGGGACACATGATTAGTCCAGTCACACTGGTGAATGAGTTTGGCCTTGGGAAGAGCCACAGCTCTCTCTGTTGCTTTAGTATCTGGAACAGTGGCTTGTTTTGCTTTAAGAATGGTTGGCTTTGTTGACAAAATCTCCTTTGCTCCCGGAGAGGTATTTCGTGTTCGTATCTCGGTGGCTTCCCTGCCCTGCTCACATCCGAGAGTTCACCACTTAGCAGAGAACAACTGGTTAGCCAATAAATAAAAGATTGTACTCATGAAGGAGTGTGCTAGGGCGCACGGTGGGGATTTTAAAGATTCATAACCTACAAGTCAAACTATGTACGTTTCCCTGGCAGCAAAATATCTGTTTGTTTCTGGTTTAGGAAACAGACTTTAACTTTCATGCCTGATTTTACGGAGTTGGCACTTGATGCCAAGTTCTTGCCTTGCGGTTAAGTCAACGAACCTGTTAGCTGGTCTCTGCTGTGCATTAGCTCAGAAGCCCAACTGCCAGGCTGGCGAGGACACTTCTGAGTCTGTCCTTATCTCTTTCTCACCTTTAAAAACAAGCTGCTGTGTCTGCTTTCGGCAATCAGGGCAGAGCAGGCTGAGAAACAATCTTTGAAGAGAAGTTGTCATTTGGAAATAGCCCACTATAAAGCTGGGATTTAAGAGGCAGAGAGACCCCTTTCCTGGAGGTGTCCCTGTGGGCGCAATTGTATTGTCATCACAGCAAAGAGACAGGTTTAGTGGGCCACGGAAGAAACAAGCTATTTCAGTTCTCAGGAGGAGCCAGATTGAATGCCACTGTGACAGGCTCAGTGCTTGCCCTTCGGCTACTTGCTGGGGTGGGGAATCCAAGCTCGGGCCTTGCACATGGGGCCAGGTTTGCTGCATCTGCAGTCTTGGATGCTTTGAAGCAGAGAGTTCAGGCTTATCCTGAACTCAGGATACATCTGCCTCTGCTTCCTAAGTGCTGGGATTCCAGGCCTACACTCTGGGCAGCTCCTCAAGCCACTCTCAAGTGCGCCTCCCAGTTTCCTTGTGGGCTCACACTGCCTTCCTGAAAGCCTGTTTGGGTCTGGATCTCTACTTTCTCACATGTCAGAAAACTTCATTTTTTCTGAGTCTGCACTTCCAGCAAGAGTATGGTTAGTGGCTTCAGCTAACACACTCCAACTTGATGGCACCCGTGTCCTGCACGCTCCTTTGCCCCACACCTTACCCTAAGAATGAGAGTGTGATATTTTGTGTTCATTTTTCTCCTTGCTCTTTCTCCGTAGTCTGAATTTTTTAAATTCTTTAGATGATCCACTCCCACATTTTATGGATGATAAAACCAAGCTCAGACAAAATAAAGGCTTCACCCGTTGATTAGCGCCTGTGTGCATGCCCCTGATGTGTTTAGAAACTGCCTTGTAGGGCATGCCGGGGACACTTCCATATGTCAAGATGAATGAGGTCAGAAGCTGCCCTTGTGGACACCTGTACTGTGAGCACCCATGCGCAGGCACCGTGCATGCCTGTGTGACTGGTCATGTACAAGTTCAGTTGCTTGTGTGTTTCTGTTGTTAGTAATTGGGAAGTAAGATTGGTTCACTGTAGATCAGGAATCAGCAAACTGTAAGTTTAAGTTCCATCTATCCATCCATTTATCCATCCATCCATCCATCCATCCATCTATCCATCCACCCATCTGTCCATCCATCCATCCATCCATCTGTCCATCCATCCATTCATCCACCCATCTTTGCTATGTATGGGGGAATTGAACCCAGGATTTTGTGTGCCACAGCCCTCACCCTCATATTTTATTGAGATATTATTTTTAATTTATGATTTTACTGGCGTTTTGAAGTTCTTTTTTATTGGGATTGGGGCATGCATGCTCCATAGAGCTAACTGGGGAGGTCTGAGGATAACATGTGGGAATTGACTCTCACTTTCCATCATGGTGGTTCTGGAGATCAACTCGGGTTGTCAGGCATGGTGGCAAACCCCTTTATTCCACTGAGCCTTCTCACTGGCCCCAACTTTGTGGGTCTTTCTGTCTCACTAATGTGTTATCAGACAGTCCCGGCTATTGCATATAGACAGGCCTGGCTGTGTTGCGGAGAAACTTCATTGAAAGTGTCAGAGGTCAGGCCTTAGCCAGTGGTTTGCCAGCCCTCTCCTGGACCACATATAGATGGTATCTCAAGGAAACACCATCTGTGTTGCAGGGTGGTCAAGCCCCTGTGCTAATCATGTGATTCCTATAGAGCCTTTCTTCTTGGAAAAGGAAAACAAAAATTCCCCAGTTTGGCCTTTCCAACCATGGTTGGTTTCTCAATTCCCATTCCTCAAAGCCTGGTTCCCTGTGGTTATCCCACACGATCCTGACTGATGCCAGGAAAGCAGCTGAGACTTCCCAGAATACACCAGCAGCGTCCCTGGGGAGATGACCTCAACCCTTCTCTCTATGTCAAATGTATCATTGTTATCAGCTGGGCTAAAGGGAGCCTTTGCCACACAGCCCAGTGGAGTCATAGTCTACACCTACCCTCCATTGTCCTTGACCATCCCCACACTCTGTCTCTCACTTTAGAATTTCGTTTCTGTGGGCATGGTGATAGTTCTAGGTACTCTGACGGCTGAGGCAGGAGATCACTGAGCCAGAAGTTCTAGGCTAGCCTGGGAAACATAGCAAAAGACTTGTGTCAAAGAAAGGAACAATTTGTTTTTGTTGTTGTTGTTGTTGGCTCTTTGTGGCCTGTGAAACATGGTGCCTTCCAGGCAGACAGTCTCCTTGTTCTGTGTGTAGTATACAGTGTTACTAACAATTACCCAAGCAATGGCTGGTGGTCTGATTGTGATGTTCCATCTAAGGGTCGTTATGATATGTTAATGTAAGACCAAAAATTAAAGTTCAACAAGATAATTTAACCTTTTCTTGTTGTGAAGTCAAAGTGGTTGAGTAGTGAAGACAAGAACGTTTAGGTTTTGAAGCTGAGGGAGAAAAGTTAAATGTCTCACTGGCTGCTTGTTCCTATCATAGCACGGCGGTTCTTGAGACGTCCCTAGGGACATTGACTCATGTTCTTGGGCAATAGATGGCAAGCTCTCTGTGGTAGAAAAAAAAGGTAGAAAGGAGAAAATGGCTTCTCTAGTGTTCTAGATATAAGAAATCTGCTGGAAGTGTGGCCTAGGAACACTGACATCCCCAGTTAGAATGCTGTGGCTGTCCCTCGGCGGAAGCAAGCCTCTCACCCTGTGAGCTCTGGCTTCTGGTTCATTGCAGTGGCTCCCTTTGTCCCTGTGCTTAGAAAGGACTCCAAACACATCGTTTCTGTCTGATGTTTTGGTTTAGCATTTGTGTTTTGTGTGTGTGTGTGTGTGTGTGTGTGTGTGTGTGTGTGTGTGTGTACATCCATGTGTATGTTTGTGGGAGAGTAGCCATCTTATCAGACACTGTGTGGAAAAACATGGGAATGGTCTGCCCAGCTTCTCAGACCACTTACCCCCTGCTGCTGTGTGAGTTACTAACTTCATCTTCTGACTTGGTGCATAAGGACTGGACTCGAGATAAAACAGCACTTGGAAGTCTAAGGCCTGATAGTTCTGCGCTCGGTCAGCCATTTCTTCTTGTGCTGAGCGCCCTGTGACAGAGCGACTTCCCACTGATCTTGTGGCTTTGTTCCCTCATTGGTCAGTGCTGGTGCTGCCCTCTGATATAGAGGGACCTTGTATGCTGTGAGCATCTCTGCTGTGAAACAAGAAAGTCTCTCCCCTGCGTCACTGTGTAAGAGTAGGCGTCAACAGCAGGGCCTCGCTCCCTTTTGGGCCCAGTGTATCTCGTGTCCAGTGTCTGCTGCCTGTGAGGTTTGTTCACCTTATTTCCTTCCTCTCTTGGCGTCGTGAGCCTAAGGGAAAGCTCTCTTTGTGTTGGTCTGAGCCTCACAGCACCAGGCTTTAACCACCTCTGTATTTCCACTGTCCAGAGCACCCAGAAGTCAGATGCTGCTTCTTCCCTCACACCCCAGAATGAGCTAGAATGCTGCCTCTGTTGTAGGCATTTAGTGTTTCAGGCCTTTGTGGCCTATGGAACAACTAATAGATTTCGAAACTACGGCTGAAAATGCCAGGAAGAGGGAGGATGGTGGGAGTCAATCATTGCTTTAGACCTAGGAGCTGTCACAAAATGCTATGCAGGGGAGAAAACATTGAGTGTAGCATGACCTGCCATGTGGGTTGGGTGGGCTTCAGTTTCTCCATCTACAAAGTGAGTTCTGAGCATCCCATGTTCCTTGGAGCAGTGGTACCTAACACCTGGTAGGCAGTGAAACATTTGGATGCAGGACTCCGAATCCTGAGGTGACCATGGTGTTCCTCCAAGCTCTCGCCTTCCCCAAACTGAGTAGATTTCCTTGAGGCCACTTATGTCCTGTGGTAGAGTGGGGACTTGATTTCTTGGGATGTCCCTTTTCACAATAAGGGACCTACGGAATGGGAATTTGAAAATTCGCCTGCCCTAGTGCTCGTGTGTCCATGTTTTCATCTCTGTTCTCTTCTGTTTTCAGCATGGTACCTGGAAGCTTGATTTCCCTCTGTGACCGCAGGGAGGTGTGTCTGACCCAGGAGTCCTGAGTAGGCAAGCTGGGGCCCACACTGGGAAGCACGGGAGAATGCATGACGCTTGACAGGAAGGGAAGCTGCCAGGACTGTTACTTATCAAAGGCATGTTTGCTGTTGGCCTTAGTATAATAATGTTAATGAGATTATTAGGTGGGGGAGATTTTTGATAAATAATTGAT